ACCCACCGTAGGTGGTAATGACACTGGAACAGCGAAACAAAGGAGTTGGGTGTTTTCAGAAGCAAATTCTGAAAGCTGCTCTACCTGTGCTGCTGAGAAATCCTGCCCTGGTTGTCTGTATGCTTTTCAGTACCATTGTTTATGGATCCCTTGCTTAAATGCTTACGTTCATGTTCTTCCAGTGCTCGAAGGTGGACCGTGGCTGTTCTGCACGTGCCTTTCTCCAGCTTCCTCGAGCGACCTGTGGCAACCCCAGGGAAAGGCTCTGTGCTGCCCGCCAGGCTGGACCTCGCTGGGGTTTGGCAGTGGTTGGTGACACAGGTGCTTCCCATCGCAGGACCGCACGAGTCCTCTGCATCACAAGCATCCCCAGGAGTTCCTCCTGCCCGTCCCCAGCGGCGAGGTGGATCCCGGGGAGGAGGGAGGCCAGACAGACCCTTGGGAAAGGTCTGTGAGTGGGTGTAAAATTCAAATTGATTTTTCTCCCAGCTCATATTTTGCAGGAGATTCAAAGGAAATGGGTTTCTTATGATTTTGGAGGTCAGGGTTATCAAGTTCTAGTTCTTGGGCTGGAGAAGGATGATGCTGAATTTTCTCTATGCAGGAGTCATGAATGCTCTGGTCCTACAGTCCTCTTCCTGCAAAATAAATGTCTTGTTGCAGGGCTCCACGAGCCCTGGGTGCTGCCCACCTTCCCCAGCACACCCAGTGGTTCTGCTGGGGTGTGCGGCGCTGGTTCAGAGCATGTCCTGACATCTTCTGCTGGAGGTGTCGGCCTCTCTCGCACCGTCAAGGGATATTTTTTTTTTTTTGAGACCTGATAAGTGTTATTTTCTTCAGAGGGAGAAATGCTTTTCAATTATAGGGGCTGCTTTTGGGCTAGGTGTGAAGATTTAGCTTTTGTGGGTGTGTTTTTTTCCCCCCATTTTTGTACTTTATTAGATTCTACTCTTATCTTTACTACCTGGAAAAAATAACAAGACAAATGGTCCTTAGTTCTTTCCGAAGAGCCATAGTTAGGGGAGCAGAGACAAAGGGATTGGTATCCTATGAAGGCTGCTAATTTTTGCTACCAAATTGGGGGGCTTTTATGGCAAGACTTTTTTTTCAAAAGGAACTCTAGATGTGGCAAGATGAATTGGAGATCTGTGAAAGGCCACATTTTCACAGATTGGAGCTCTGGCAATTTCGTAAAATTAGGCTCCTTTAAAATCTATCACATTAGATCCATGCAGCCTTCGTTGGAAGTTCCAATTAACTATTTGTTTCGTAGCATCCTCTTCAATCCTCCTTCCCCTTATTTGCACCAACTTCCACGACTGTTAAGAATAAGGCTGTTTTCCAGGTGACATATAACATTTTGAGGTGATATATGTTTTATTTTCCTCAAAGGAGGAGCGATTAGATTTTTTTAAAAGGACTTCTTAAAAGATTTCTACCCAAATGCATTTCTACCAAATGCAACCTGAGGGATACATACTACTGAGAATCTGCCTGGAGTTTGACGTAACTGATGCTTGGACCCCCGAAGGATGCAGTTATTAGAGTTGCATCTCAAGAAGCATGTTTTGGGGCTGGCATTGTTTCCTTTTTAATTTGCAGAATATATCTGAGAACTTGTTGTTGGATCTGTATCTGTAAGTTCTCCTAAAATTGCAATGACCGTCACTTCCAGCCCTCCTCTGCCACTAAGTTGCAGCAGACCCCAACCCTCAAAATTCAGAGCGAGATCAGGTGCTGGCGCTGAGAGCGTGGAAGGTGTTTGGTTGTCTGTCTGGCCATCCCTTGCCTTTCACCTGGAGGAACTGAATTCAAACACATTGTGTAAAGCTGTAAAATCATAAAATTCTTATCAGCTGAGACACTGCACTTTGACTAAAGCAGCAGCTAGCAGAAAAAGCAGTTGGAAGGTATGCCAGAGCACAGAGCAGGTTATCAGGTGTGCTTATCCCCGTATTCCGATTTTCCCATAAAGAAAGTAATGCTGCTGCTTGCAAAGACCTTTGGGGGTGGGTGTCTCTTTTAATTTTAACTCCTTTGACTATTTTCTCTGCCTTGACAAAGATGTGGCATTTATTGCATCTGGCAAAACAAGTGCCTGGGACTGATTAGGAGAAAACAGATCTATTCTCTCTGATAGAGGGCAAAAGTGAAGGCAGCCAGTGAGACAAGACTTTGGAGTCATGTCTCTTCTAGAAGAAAAAAATCTCTGAAGAAAGATACGATGGATAAACTGG